TAAAAATCGTCTCCTGCAATTGGAGTGGCGGATTAAATCGCAAGAAGGCGGAAATCGAACAATTTACTGCCGATGACTCGCCTCACGCCTTTCACATACACGAGACGCACCTCCTACCCGCCGAGGCATTCTCGCTTCGAAACTTTTGTATCTACTTTTTCTCTACAGTGAGATAAATTACCCGCTCCCACCCCAAAACAAAACCCGTCACTAACTGGGCTTCGTTCAAAACGAAAGTTTCGAACAAGCTCTATGCAAAACTCATCCTCGATTCCCCCCTCAACATAGAGCAATTAACCACCTCAATTTCCCAATCTAAACCGCCTTCCACGAAAACTCCACACTACCTGATCCCTCCCACCCCACAAACCAAACGCCCCTCGAGCTGATTCGCCTCGTTAAGGAGCGCCGAAAGGCGCAGAGAGAATACCACCGATCTCACGATCCCGCTGAAAAAGCAGCGTATCAATCTATTCGCCGGAATACCTCCAAGCTAATGCGGGAGCACAGAAACGCGATGTGACAGAACCGTCAAAAAATTCGAAATATACAATGTTCAAGATCTGTGAAAATTGCAATGGGCATTACGAACCCGGAGCCGGCCACCTCAGATTTAAATTGCCCTAACGTCCTCCCCCGATCTACAAATCCACTGTGAAATCAGAGGTGTTTGCTGACACCCTGCAATCACGTTTCTCACCCCCAGCCATCTCCCTCTCCCTCCCTGCCACCGCCGCAGAAGTCGCGAAATAAAGCGAATAAAATCATGAATTCTGACGTTAGATACTCATTTTTTTCATACTCATGATGCTCATTCATGACGATCAGGTTTAATGTGATTGATTTCTTAAGTTTTTCAATTGGAAAAAAAATGAATGTCAATTTACGAAATAGGATAAAATTTCAATTAAAATACATTTTCCTTCGTGTACGTCAAGATTATGTAAGGAAAATATTTCTTGTGAATAAATAAGCATTAACATTTTATGGTTAATATATCCAGATGCTCTACTTGCAGTTAATTTGAATATTTTTGTATACATTACTTCTAATTGTAAATTTCGTTTCGACTTTCGTTATTTTTTATGGTGTGTAATATATAATATTTGTAATTTTTCCATTAATGCTCAAATTTTCATTACAAAGCTTACTATATTAAATAAATATCTTTGAAATCCCACTCCCTATGTTTAGGTGAAGTTGGTTCACCGCGAGAACTTTCCTTCTACTCGCCGAGCGCCTCGTGATCCGAAACCGCTCTCAAGGCCGTTCGTGTTCCGTCCGCCCGACGGCCCTGCGTGGCCCTGCGCACTTCGAGTGGGGAGACCTGGCAGAGGGGTGGAGCTCGCCCCAGATGGAGCGGCGCTCCGCCGCAGGAGATGCTCCCCCTCCAATTACGCAGCTGTCGTTGCTTATTTGGTTCTAAATGGCCGGCGCCATGGTATATAGCAACATCCATTTTCATATAGGAGCATATAAGTAGATGTAAATAAAAATGTTTAATAGGACAGGGTGATGATAGTTGGTCCCACTTGTGAAGAGAGCTGAATCAGAATATTTTATTCTGGACAGTTGAAATACGGCGCTGATCTACACTCGGCATGCAGAAGGTTTCCCTCCCCAGGGATAGTATTTCAATAAATTTTAATCACCAAGAGTGTCATGTGCCGCAAGGATGGTGATGTGATGTAGTTTAGGAGCTCCTCCGCTATTTCTTACAAACTTCGATATTCCAAATGCTTTGCTACTCCAATCGAAAGGTGTAGTTTTTGGCAGATAACACGAAGGGTTTCAAATCATCAGCTTTTTCTCTATCGTTCACGTGCACGGCTATCGGAAGGGTGACGAGTCTAAAGGTGTGGTGTTCCTCAGTGATGGTGATTCAGTTCAGGAGCTCCGCCACTCTTCCTGAAGAGCACTGTTAGCTCAAGGACTGCGGGATGTAAAGGAGTGGTGCTTGGCAGGAAGTGCAAATGGATTCCATTCGTGGGTGGCTTCTCTATTCCTCACGACCACAATCGGCCCAATGGCGGTGAATCTAAAGGCGTGGTTTTCCGCACGGTTGGTTTAGGAGCTCCTCCTAAAAGTTCCTTGCAAGCATTGCCATGCCAACAGAGTCGAATCGAAGCGACTGTTGTTCCTCAGGGATGATGATGGGATTCCGTTTAGAAACTCCGCCGCTATTCCTGAAGAGCATGGCTGGCCCAAGGGTTGTCGGATTTAAAGGAGTGGTGTTCGGCAGGGCATGCAAAGAGACTCCATTCATGACCTTCTCCTTTTTGTTCCTGAGCACGGCCTACCCAAAGGGTGACGAGTCTAAAGGGGTGGTGTTCCTCAGAGATGGTGAGGGGTTTCAGTTCAGGAGCTTCGCCGCTCTTCTCTCAAGGGCGCCCCCCCCCCCAATGGTGACGAACCTAAAGTGTAATTTTCCGCAGGGATAATAATGAGATTTAGTACTGGAGCTCATCCTTTAACGTGCTCAGCCGGCGTAAAGGCTGAAGAGCCTAAAAAAAGGTGTGGTGTTCCTCAGAGATGGTGATGGGACGGTTCAGAAGCTCCGCCGCTATTTCTGAAGAGCAAGGCTGGCCCAAGGGTTGTCGGATTTAAAGGAGTGGTGTTCGGCAGGGCATGCAACGGGATTCCATTCATGAGCCTCTCCTTTTTGTTCCTGAGCACGGCCTACCCAGCGGGTGTCGAGTCTCAAGATGCGGTGTTCCACAGGGATGGATGTTGCTGGCGGCGGGGGGCCACGCGTGGATGGCGGCGCTGCTGCAGCACATGGAGGAGGAGAGCGGCCGGCGCCGCGACCTGGAGGCGCGGGTGGCTCGCCTGGAGGCCGCGCGGGAGCAGCAAGAGGAGGAGGAGGCGGCGCGGCGCTGCGGCCTAGCGCAGTTGGAGGCGCGGGTGGGCGCGGTGGAGGATGGCGTGGCCCGGGCCTTGACAGCCATGACGTCCACGGTGGACGAGATGCTGGTCCGCTACCAGCCGCCCCGTGCTGCGACCGCAGGTAACGGATTGCACGCGGAGGACGAAGCAGAGTAAATAAAACAGCGTGGAGAGACGATCACGAGTAGGCAATGACTTTGGCATTTAACGCTTGTGCTGTTTTTGGTTTGCACTTTGTAGTATAGTTAGTTGAAGTGGCCTCGGTTAGCTAATTAAATTTCCCCCCTCAAATAATGAAAAGTCCGCTTATACAAGTGGCGCAAGTCCTAGACCTCAACTTGTTGCACGGCGTCTACTTTACTCTGTTTCACTTTGCGCGATACCCCACTAGTTAGAGATTCTACACAGCTTTTTTTTTTTTTTTTTTTTTGCAAGCCGGTAAGTTTCAGTGGTATCCGCATTTTCTAACTATCTACGGCAGTCTCTTATTGTCATTATTAATTATTATTTCAGTACCATCTTCTCCGGTGACCGGTAAAGGGGCCGACAATGCGACTATCTCCAGCGCCCATGCCTTTACCACTGCCTCCGCGACGGAGGAACTCGCCGCTGCCCCGTCCGCACCCTCCCCCGCGCGGGCGACGCTGCACGAGGCGGCGGCGGCGGGCGGTTTGCATCTTCAAGAAAGCGGGAAGAGCAAGAAAGACGCATACAATATATCCTTCACAAGAAACCATTTTTAATGAAAGTTCAAATAACTATAGTAAAGTTGTAAGTTTGAAACAAAAAAGGGTTTTTTCTAAATTGATTTGAAGAAGATTTGTGTTGAAGATAGAATTTTTCGTTGAAATATAATTCGTTCTCTAAAGTGGGTTATTTCATTATTAATTACATCACATACTTCATGTGCTACCATTCTACAGACCTGAATCTTCCTTTTTTTACCTTCACGATAGTTGTTTTCTCAATATAATTTTCCATGACAGGGTGGATTGTCTCGTATCTTTTGAATGTTCTTCTTGAACTCATTTACATTATCATTAACTTGCAAAGAATCGACTCCCCTCTTTTGGATCTGGTTACATAAAATTTCAACATGAGGCATCACTTTGCTAAAAAAATCTTAAGCAAAAATATTGTCCTCTTTCAACAAATTCAGCAATTCTACTGCGTTTCTAAGTGCATCAATTACCTCCTCAAAACATTGAATTAGATCATCTTTGTGAGCACAAACAATTGTCCTGCTCTGAAAAGACTAACGAGTATTTGGACCTTGGGGGAGGCGTCTTTTAACTACATTGTTTGACACAGTCATTCGTTTGGATGAACGTGAAAAAAAACAGCAAATTCTTAAAAATATTATTGAATAATATTGAATTATACGGTGCCTCTGACCGGGAGGTCCTAGGTTCGTGTCGCGACAGTCGCAGGATATTGTCGACACTCGCTAGAAAACTAGGAGAAGAATTTCTAGTAGCCGGCCTGCTCTAATCGGTGGCCATGCGAATGTGGGAACGGTACCTAACAAATAAGCCACGGACCGCGCGCGATCTTTCCTTTGTTTCTTCTTATCTCATGCATACCCCTTCACTTACACTTACGATGCACTACCTAACACACATGCCGGAAAGCCTTAGAGATTACCCGGCTGGCCGGTGTCCCGCTGGGGGAGATACCTGCTAAGGGAAAACCCCACAAGGAAGACGTATGTTGGCACCGGATCTCACCATCCAGCGGCCGGGAAATACCATCGCCACGCCGGGGACATGCACTACACCTACGAGACTAATGAAATTGTATAATGAATCAACATTCCGATGTTTGCGAGTTCTTCCCAGATCCACAATAATAGTGGCACGCGGACAAGGGAACTCGATCCTTCTTGCTGTGGAGGCGCGTGCAGGGCTTCTCCGCCGCCCCCTGGCAGGCTGGCCAGTGACCTTGAGGGACTCCCCTCCCCTCCCCCGCCAACCACATCCGCAACACCGGCCACCAGCGAGACAAGAGTAATTCTGCCTTCGCCCCCTTTGCCAAATTTCGCTATCCCGACCGCTTCCAACATCCGATTCGGACGGCTGACAATGCGTTGGCTGCAGGAAGGGCCAGCCATCGCGGTATACCGCCACTTTCTAATTTCCCCACGGGAAATGGAAAAAAAAATGAAAATGATTCTAGTTTTAGCATTATTTTTTTAGAAGGCATCACAGCGCAAAATTCATACATTGAAAAACGAGTCCAATGACGTTTTTACAGACCTCAAATCGAATTATTTTTTCACATGGTAATGTTACGTAAATTCCCTACCATAGGCTACGAACTACTGAATTTCCACTCTCAAATTATGTCGGGACATTTCAGGCCTTAAAAAGTTAGCCAGGATTTCCGTACCGTTGAATTGATCTAAATTGGTCGAAAATTTCACAGTTATAAAAATGACGAAATAAATGTCTGCTTGTTGGTAACACCAACAGATTATATATAATAGCGACAGTCATACCGTTAGAAACTAATTTAAATGAATTAAAAAATGAAATAATATTCCTTTAATATTGGTCTGTTTAGCTTAATGTTATTTATATGCTATTAATTAATTTTGTTATATTTAAAAAGCCCGGTCTTCTACCGAATTGAGACCAACAAAGATGTGCAAAAGTGCACGCGCAAATCATACAATAAGTCACAAGATACTCAAGAGATGTGCTGGGAGGGGATCTTTTAATTTTAAAAATGCGCCTGTTCGGTGAAAGTGACTGCTGGCCCACGGCCGACTGCCTCCTGGCCGTCGACGTCTAACGTAACCTTCAAAAGCCGCCAGCGCCTTAATGCTGCCTTTCCTCGCGTCCCTTCCGTTGCGCCCCAGAAAGTATGCGAGGGGCGCTGTACCTCCGCTGCAGACGACGACGGAATCGTTCACATGTAATGGAGCTTCACGCACGTTGCTTTCTTGGCGGAATTTCACGCAAAAGTCGTATTCAAAGTTTCGAAAAAATTGTTCATGACCTTTAATTTAAAAATCTTCTTAAAGAAACAAGATTATTCACAAAGAAAAAAATCTCTAACTACATGATTGTAGTTGTATGAAAAACGGCCGAAAAAGTTTAGAATTTCTGCAATTTCGAAAAAAATTGGGTCTTTTACGAAACATGATGACCTTTCAGTCCTCTGTAGAGGTCGTTACACACAAAACAATCTACTTCATTTAATAAAAAAATGATTGAAGATCATTATTTCATGAAAGTTCGTTAAATGTCCGCACAACTTTTGAAGTACCACGAAATTAAAATTATCGACTTCAAATTCCAAGGACCAACAGATCGATGGGAATATTATTTTTGGAAACAATCGACTGAGCGGTTCAACTGCTAGCGTTGTTCACAGGATGGACGGACGGGACAGACTGACTGGACTGACTAAAATGTCCTCATTCGATTTTGTCGACGAAGGACCAAAAGCTTGGATTTCTGGCACCACCACGTGTAGGATTTTTTCCCTTCAAAATTTAGCAACTGGATTTAATTCCTTTTTCCGTACACTGGGCTATGTTTAAAAAAGGTTCTTCTGCCAAAAAATCGCCGATTTCTCGCCATTATTACATAAGTTTTCATGTCTACTCCGTAGGCGAGAAAGTAGAAACATGAATTAAACAAGTATATTAGTTTTTGTAGCTTTTAATTTCCGGCATCATAGAAGCTTTCAATACAACTCACTCTCAGCTATTGTATTTAGGGAAGACTGAAAAGACCAGATGTAAAACACGTTAGAGAGACTGATCGTATACAGCATACATGCTCAACTGAGAGTATTTTATACGAAAACGTAACCGTGTAAGCTGATTGTAATTCGAGACAAACGCCAGAAAATGCTTGCCAATAAACGCTCCGAGCACATCATTTCAGGGATTGTTCCCTTGACGGTAATTCGGCTGCCGAACAAACTTGTAACAGTCAAGATCTTTATTAAAAATCTGAAATGAGATCTTAACCCTAGGATGCACAGCCCCGGGAAAACTACATGGAATGCATTTTGTACGACCTCCGGGACCCTGCGCATTCCTTTCGAAAATGCACAAACAATTTTTATCCTTAATAAACTTCGCGTTTTCCATATTTCTATACCAAGTCACCTTCATTCATGTTAAACAAATGATTACTTAAATAACTATAATAAGGTTTAAGAAGTATTGGTAGAGCCTTTAAAATCCTTAATAAGGCATTAATAGAACGGTAATAGAACCAAATTTTCGGAACTACCTACATTATTTCTACTTTTTCTTCGGCAGTGACGAAAAGAAAGGAGAAAGGTTGAGACAGTAGTAAAAAACACATTAGGCCTGCGAGGCATGCATCCTAAGGTTAAAAACGACAAAACTTGGCGTCACGATTGACACTAATACTGAATATACATTTTAGAAACCTTAGTAAGTATCAGCAAATGTAGTTCTGCATCAATCCCAAAAGATAATAAATAATATACGAGTATCTGCAATCAAAATGCGCTGCGAAAATATCTCTCTCCTTTGT